GACCAACCCAGTACGAGTGCAGTCAAGCCGAAGTATGATGAGGTCGACACTGTGATAAAAGTGTTAGACCAGAACACAGTGTTGCTAAAGAAAAAAGGAATCCAAGGAGTTGAGCAGCTGAAACCAGCCCTAGGCTAAGAAACCAGAAATGAACATGGCCATGGACCTCGATGACTCTCCGCCACCCTACATTCGAATGGCCACGATTAATGGGTTGGTAATCATGAGAAGAAGCACAATGGGTATTTGGGTCGGAAGAGCCCTGAAGACCCTTGAATATGCAAAGATTGGATATCTATCACCAGATCCAGAAACAGTGGAATGGAACCACTGTAATAAGGGATGCGTGGTTTGCCTGGAAGCAGGTAATTTTGAGACCGTATGGGTTGGRCCCGGTCACGAGAAACCACTCTCCCCTCCAAGGTCAAATGTTGACCTTATAGGAATCAGAAGAAGCCCAGTAAAGGTAATGGAAGCCTTTATCTGCGGAACTTGCAGAGTTGATACTCTGCCCAGGATCACCCTGATCGTTCAGTGGGACCGGAAWGGGGTAATACCCGAGGGATGTGGTTGTTCTTGGGATGGAAACAAACTGGACTGGTGCCCCGCATGCTCATCTTTGTCATGCAATGGCACGTTGGTTCAAGCAGCCGAGGCTTTTGGATGGCAAGGGAGGAGGCTTTTCTACCCCCTGAGGTATGTATCGCCAGATGAAACTACCGATGCTATAGCCTCCTCGATGGGCCTCGGTCCTTTTTTGTATCCTGTACTCTCATGCGATCCCTCTGCACCCCCATTGGATCCGGTCACAGAGGCCGAAGCAGGCAAGGAGGCAAAGAACAAAGGAAAATCCGAAAACCTCCGATGTGACCTTTTGAATGAAGCAATTGACAAAGCTTGGCCCTTTCAAGCAGATGGGGTTCGAGCTGGAAAACCCCTAGTGGGACTACAGGAGCACCCTTTGGTTTTTAGGGTATACAGGGAACCCTTGACGATGGCCATGAGGCCTGATGAAAGACCYGACAATGTGAAAGAAACTGCACAGGAAGGCGGTTGGGAAGGACCATGGGAGCTCACTACATGGGCCTCGCTCATTAAGGAGGTGATCGAGAACCAGTTCATCCCATTAACAGAACTCCCTGCGATCCCTCGGGAAGAGAGGGTCAGAGCGTCTGACCTATATTACTACACCACAAACATCGATGCTTGGTGTCCGAGAGGAGCTCGGCCAAAACAGAAAGCTGCAATTTACACGGTCACTTCTGAGGCGTGGAATCGCCAAGGAATCCTGCAGATTCCTGGGACCGTGGCTCAGAAGACCCGGACTCCCATCCGCCCTGACTCAACTTGTAAAGTAAAGGTTGCAGTTCAAATGGTGATTGTCCCTTTAAAAGGAGTTTACTCCATTGGAGCCACCATCACTGTTCTGGCGCGTCGTCGTGAAGAGATCAGCACACATGAGGCCCCTGCCCCCCTCCCTGAAGTACCTGACCCACCAACTCGTCGCAACTCTATCTCACTCCTGAAATCCCTGACCCGCGTTCCTTTGCGGTTGCGCAGGACAAAGAGCGAGAGAAAGTAAGTGAATCTTTGGTATGACACGTAGTCCTCCTCCTTAAATTATAATTTTGACATTATACCATCTCCGTGGGATCGGTTGTGGGATGATTGACCCCAATAATCCCAGGAGAGGGGGTGGAGCCTTAAAATGACAGGAAAAGATTAATGGTAACCACACCCCCAATAGAAAAAGCCAACGCCCCCCTTCTCTAAGATAAGAAGCCGGTCAGTGAGCCACACTAAGCAGAAGGAAGATGGAGGAGACCAACTACGTGTCACAAACCCAAGAAGACCCAGAGGACGACGATGGAGGTACCGACCCCAACAAAATTCCCCCCCAAAAAACAGCTGCGGCTGCAGCTGTAAGAAGAAGCCATGTGTTGAGATTGGCTTAAGGCTTTTAGCTTTATTTCTTGCYGTCGCTTTGATTTTGTCAATTTTGTATCAAGTAGGATACCGGCCMTGGGAAGYCACTCATGCCAGAGTRTTTCATGCCAACACAAAATATGGAAATTTGACATGCTGGAATGTCAGCGCTCTCAACCTGTTCCTACCCTGGGGAGCTAACCAAACCAACAAAACTGATTTTTGGAACAAAGTGAAAAGAATGGGGTATGAAGCATGGGAAGACAACCTGGATGATTGGGATGCCTGGACAAACGAATTGGCACAACAGAACTTCACGGAAGACCACAATTGGACAATCTCAAACATATTGGCCACAAAAGATGGACTGGTGGTATGG